CCCCCTCGGACGGAAACCGGCTGTCGAGCTAAAGTCAATATATCGGTGACTTATTACGTAAATAGGACCGGTGTGACCAAGGAACGGGGTGCGAGACGATTTAATTGTCGCATTCCAGCCCTAATTGACAGATTCACGGTCGTCAATCGTGAGAACGATCGAGGGATCGACCGTCGGGGAAACTTTGGACGGTCACCTTACATCGAGTTCAAAGCAGGTCCTACTGACACTCCTGTGGAGGGGGCGGTGGCTGAGACGGCTTCCTCCTCTCCGGGACCGAAAAATAGACATTAGGTGACAATTTACGAGACCGTCATCCGGGAGAGGGCTTGACCCGACTCCGGAGGGGAACAGCCCGGACGGGGGTCATCTCGGCGACCCCTCGGCCCGAATCGCGTCCCTGGCAACAGACCCGGGACCAATAGAATCGCAAGGGGACCAACATTCGGACCAACCAAAACCTCGAGATTTCGGGTGAGAAAAGATTATAAGAGCCCGAGGACCCAAGGACGAGGGGAGAGAGTTGGTTGCGAGCTGGGGATCAGAAGCCACAGTGCGAGCGAGCGGATACGGATTGCGGATACGGATTTNTAAATAATACGGTCTCCGTGTGAGTCTTTGCGTCCAGCCAACCGCGACCCCCATACGGAAAAGGTTTTCTCGTGTCATCCTGACAGATCACGGGTAAAGCGAGGGTCGTACCCTTTTTCACCCCCCCCTAAGGGCCTAAAACCCCACAGTGGTGTCTCCAACCCCACAACTACATGAAAATGGAAATTAATGAATACACTAGTACATTGTGAGTGTTTGGAATGGCTATGTCTATAATGTATGTGATTTTATTGTGTTTGTCAATGAGTGTGATGTCTGGTCTGTTGTGGTAAATCGTTTTATCTATGATTATGACTCTATCGTAGTACATTTTGTGCATGTTGTTTTCCAATACTGTCTATGGAATATACTTGTAGTATGGTTTGTGAATGTCTACCAAGTTGTGTTTCTTTGCAAGCTCTTGGTGTATTATATTTGCTACTTGATTATGTCTGTGTAAATAATCTGTCTGTGCCAAGAGCTTGCAACCAGATGTAATGTGTTGTATAGTTTCTGGCATGATGTGACATTTTCTGCATGTGTCATTTGTGAGTGTTTTATCTTTGAGTATGTGTTTTCTGTAGTTTTTAGTATTTATGACCTGATCCTGTATGGCAATCATGAATCCTTCCACCTCTCAAAAGAGGCATACCCGATCTAACCAGCTGTTTGACGCAGTTTTGTCAACAAATTCCTGGGCCAGGTCATAAGGATGCCTGCCATAGAGTGCCTTTTGAGCCCATGATTGCTTAATGGTGTCTATGCTTTTTATGTGTTGTGTCATGTCGGTGTGTTGTGAGTGTAAGTTTAATGGTGTGTTATTTGAGTCTGCTAGAGTTACTGCTTTATGTAATTGTGATGTTTCTTGTTTCCTGTAGAAAAACTCTCGCAGTGACTGTATTTGTTTGTAGTGAATGTTAACTGTGTCAATCAGGCCACGTCCGCCATCTTTATGTGGAAGGGTTAATCTTTCTGTGACGGATTTAGGATGATGTTGTTTATGCTTAGTAAGTGTTGTTCTAGTTTTCCTTTGGAGTTGCTCGAGATCTGTGTGAGTCCAATGTATAACTCCAAAATAGTATGTGAGTACTGGGATATGACATATGTGTTTATTGCTTTAACTGTGTGTTTTGCATTTAGCTGTGTTTTGAGAATGGCATTTAACCTACTTGGGTATTCTTTAATTAATCTTTGCTTTATTTGTGTATGTTCTGTTAGTTTGGCCTGTTAGAATCCTAAATACTTGTAGAACTCGCCCTCTTCCATGGATTCAATAATGTCTCCATTTCCAAGTACAAAATCTTCTTTCTTCAGGATTCCTTTTTCTATGTGAAATTTTTTGCATTTGTCTAAGCCAAACTCCATTTGTATGTCCTTAGTGTATGAGTGTGTGATTTGTAGGAGTTGATGAAGTTGTTTCTGTGTGGATGCATAAAGTTTTATGTCATCCATGTACATGAGATGTGAAAGTGTAAACTGTGTTGTTTTTTCATGTCTGATATTGTAGCCATAATGCGTGTTGTTTAACATGTTGGATAATGGGTTCAGGGCTAGGCAGAACCAGAGAAGACTCAAGAATTGCCTTGAAAAATTCCTTGCCTAATGAATATTTGGTTTGTTTGTATTGAACTGTTACTAACCCTGAGATGCAGTGTTGTTCTCCAGTGCTGCATAGTGTTTTCGAAGAATGCAATGAGTGATGGATGTATTTTGTACGTGTGTAGAATATGTAGCAGCCAACTGTGTGGAACACTGTTGAATGCTTTTCTGTAGTCTATTTATTATTATTATCATTATCAACTCGTCTCGATTATATATATATAGATGTAGCTTTTGAGAAACATCAAAAGCTGGAAAAGATTAAAAATACTAAATTAACCTGATTATTTGTATTTTGGTCATTTGCTTTTTATCTCTCTCATTTGACCAACACTATTGCAGTTTGATATTTTACATTAACTAGTCAATCAAATCATAGACCATCTTTACAATTATCAGATTATACTGTATTTGAAAAATCACTTTGGAACTTCCCTACTCTGCTAATAATAAAAGAAAAACAAAAATTTAATGAGAAACAAATGTTTTTGATAACTTTAGCTATCATCATTGGGTTGAATATTTGAAAAAGAATGTAGGTGAATTGAATGCCACAATTTAAAGGAAGAGACATCATTTGATTGATTGCTGATGTTATGTGTAATAAACTAAAACCAAACACATAGACTGAGCTTGACTATTACATCCAACCAGAACACAATTGTCTTTAGTACATCTTGAGAATCTAGAGATATATAGGGCTTTTATGAAAAAAAGGCCATAAATTTAAATATAGCAACATCCTCCCTCTAGCATGGAGATCTATATTTGAAGTCCAGCAATAAATACAACATTAAATAAATAATAAGTTTTGGTTTTTTCATTTTCCTTTTACATTGTTATCCAGTTTCTGCATTGTTTATATGATGCTAATAGTAATTAACTGATAATATTAAATCAGATAAGTAAATAGCAATACAATTAGTGGAATTCCTAGTAATCTTGTTTCATCGACTTGGAGATTAAAAGAACATTGTAAAACAATTAAAAAATGTATAACTGAAGATTTATTGAATACTAATTAATAATAATTCATCTGGTATTTTTTGCCTATTCGCTTTTACAGTATTTAACAACAAGAAATGTATAATTGAAGTGGCCAACAATTTGCTATCAAACTACTGTACAGTGAGCAGAAATCTTAACTTGTGCCATAAACATTAATCATCTGTTGAGGCTGATAGCACAAAAAGATGGCTTAAAAATATTTATTTATCCAATGATAACAATAACTATAAACAAAGCTTTCATAGTATATTTTAACTTATATTTAGCAAGTCTCAAAACATGTAACATTAAATAACTAATAACAACATCTCATTATAGTAAGAATTCTACTGTATAAATGTATTATTGTTTTTACTACAGCAGCTTTTCTGCTGTAGTAAAAACAATAATACATTTATTTAAAAGCAGTAAAATAATCTCTAAGATATGCTTTTTTCATATACCACTTTTGTATATGAAGACTTCATATACCACTTTTGTATATGAAGAAAACATATCTTAGAGATTGGCAGAAATTGTTTATGATTTTACAAATTATTGTAGCAGGAGATGAACTTACACAATATATGTTTTGTTTATGTACAAACTGATTTGAGAAATATTTCCAAAAGTTATATGTAGTTTAAACACGATATTAAATCTTTTTGTTGTTATCTTAGAATAATATATATATATATA